AGGAAACATACTCAGATGTCTTAGTCGTCCCAGCTTAAAGAGGACATTCTAAAATTAAAGAAAGGTTTAATATTCATGCTTCATTTATCATAACATGTCCCCTCCTCGTCTAGTTTGTCGAGGCCTATCATTGATGTGGAGCGTGTGGGTACTATACTGTATGTATTTTCTTTTTTCACACAGATCATTGTGTCTGACAGAAGCTGGGAGCTTTTTGTCTTTTGTGGAAACTGTCTGAAATCAGCTGCTAAGCAGACAGCTGCCATTTCTCTACTGAATGAATACAATGTGCTATCAGCTGCTGTTGCTGCTACATTCCAAAAACTTGTCTTGTTGTGTGGCATCTTCTGGGTGTTTTCTTCTTGTTGCTTGCTGACCAGTAGGCGGTAATGATTCCAGCGGATTAGTGTCTCTACAAGAGATGCCTTTTTTCTCTCTGACACTTGCCTGAGGAAGATCTTTCAGATCAAAACGTTGCCTCTGAGAGAGCAGCCTAAAAGTGTGGAGTTTTATATTTATTTTTTTTTACCTGTCGTAAATGTTTTTGTCTTACACCTAAAAAGTGTTGTTGGATGCGCACACATCTGGTTCCTCTCCTTTATCTATCTCGGTGCCAACAGATTGTAGTTATGCATATGTTTGTGTTATGCAGACAAAAAAACAAGCAAAAATATATATGACATAAGGAGATACAGAATGCAAAAGAAGTGACCAAAATTAAAATGTGAATTTCCATCCTTTCTAAGATGGGCAGTCAAAGACTTTTCTCATAGAAACAATCAAAAACAAACACTTTAAACAGACTATACTGAAAATACAGGCCCCAGTGTAGACATTCAATGCAACAAAAGCAAATACACTTGATCGGTGAAACAATCCTGAACAAAATGAGCAGAACTTTCTTCATTTTGGATCCTTGAGCTGTCTGCCTGCATCCTGGCTCCACATGGAAAACAATCCAGCTAAAAAATATGATGGTGAAGCTTCACAAAGCTGTGAAAGGACACAGGAAGATTGGTGATGACTAAAAAATCACAGCTGCAGCAGCAATCTGGAGATACAGAAGGAATCGTAGTACCACTAATCAGAGCTGCTTTCACAATCTGAAAAACAGACACACAAGCGCTTCAGACTCGGCACTCCCGGTCTGCAGAAGATCGGCAGAGGAGGAATATTCCAGGATGATAAAGATCTAAAGCACGCTGACAAAACAAGAGTTTCGAAAGAAGAACAAAGTGAAAACTACGACTCAGAACAAGTATGTTGCCCGACTTGAATCCAAGAAAGAGGAAGAGCAGCACAACCCCTCCAGCAAAGAGCTGCTGGAGGAAAATAAAAAAAACGTCTCTGAAGAATCGCAGAACATAGAACATTAGCAGAGGTTTGGTGTAAAAAATAAAGGTGGACATATGAGAAAAGATTTAAATCTTGTCAGTCAAAAGTTGGACTGACTTTTGTGGCTTTGAGTTCCTAAATGTATCCAGCTGCTCAAATTAGAAGTAATGTAGTTAATGTAAGGTGACGTCATTTCATATCGTTTGACATTAAAGTGATGTGACACACTTGCATTCGTTTACTTATCTAAAGAAAAGATGAACCTGAAAAATAAAAAGCACTACACATCAACACAACAACTCTGCGATTTAAGGGCCTCAGAGTGCTTTAATTGGATATGTTGGCATCTTCTTTGACTAAAAACAAGTTCCTTCGTCTCTTCAACAATGTCAGACTGTGACACGAGTTTTAAATTTTTTTTTTGTTTAACCAGGAAAAGGCTCATTGAGATTAAAAGTCTATTTTACAAGAGTGTCCTGGCCAAGACAGGCAGCAGCACAATTAACAGACAAACAAGGTCACAACAGCATCCACATGGACATCACACTCATAACACATGATGATTACATTTTGAAGATATGAAATAAACATATCAGCAGAGAAGAAACACAATAATCATCTGTCAAAACATCTACAGACTGATGTTTTTGCCTCCCAGTCATTTACAACCACTTTAAAAGTGTTCAAGGAAACCAGTTCTTGAAGCTTCAGGTCTTTTTGTAAAGTGTTCCAGGTAGAAGGAGCAGTGAATTTAAAAGCTTTCTTTATCCGTTCAGTTCTCATCAGTAGCATCAGATCCTTGGACCACAGACTGTAACCACTTGGAGCTTTTGTACGAAACAAAAACCTGTAAATAACAAGGAAGCAGGCTTAAAATACATTTATAAATTAAAATATGCCAGTGTTTTTTCCTTCGTGTGGTCAAATCTGACCATCCAACACAAGAGTACAACAAACAATGATGTGTAAAAGACTTAAAATTGGTGATAAACCTTGAAGTGTTGTGATACACTGAATCTCAAACACTCAGGCTTTGAGTGGAAGCATTCATATATACGTATCTCCATAATCCAGACACTCCATAATGTTACCCAGTAAATAGCTGAGTGGCAGCTATGTGACCAGCAGATGGCACTAAAACACCATTTATTAACCGTGTCCTCTGCTCTCCACTCCTTCTTCACCATCAGATAAAGTTTTGTAGCATTTTTTAGAAACGTGCACCAGCTGGCTGTAAACCGATGCACTTTACACAAAACCAATTACGATAACGTCTCTTGGATTTGTTTAACAATTTATGTTTTTGACGTGCGGTTGGGCCCAGTGATGATCAGTCTGGGATGGCAGGGCGTCGTTTTAATCCTCCCATATATCAACCAGACCTTCACAGTGTGGGTGACTGTTGGCCACTTTCTTCTCCTCTATATAAATTCGATATGACAGCACGGAGGTGAAGAAGAAGTAAAAAAAAAAAATCTGTCAGATGTGCAGCGGCTCAGTAGGAATGCAGCCGACTGCATGAAATATTTGAATACAGAGATTTTTTTTTGTCCTTTGCTGAATGGGAGCTCATTCATTTCTAATGAGAGGAGCCTCTGCTGCTTCCACTGCATATTTCTAACACTAATGTGATGCAGTGAGGTGTTGCGCTGCATATTAGTCCTGCACAAAGTCAAATAAACGTATAAGCGTCTGTGATTAGCCCTTGTAGAGGCTCCAGTGCAGCTGCGCACTGCAGCTGTGTTGTAATGAGGCAGCAGGACAGAGCCGAGCACGCAC